CTCTGTCACCCAGGCTGGAGTGCAGTGGCATGATCTTGGCTCACTACAATCTCTGCCTCCCAGGATCAAGCAATCGTCCTGCCTTAGCCTTTCAAGTAGCTGGAATTATAAGCATGGACCACCATGCCTGCCTAATTTTTGTATTTTTAGTAGAGACAGAGTTTCATCATGTTTGCCGGGCTGGTCTCAAACTTCTGACCTCAAGTGATCCACCTGCTTTGTAATTTGTTAATTAAAATTTGTTAAGAATAGACCAAATCAGTTAAAGTAATAATGAAGCTTATGCATTTTTAAAAGGGATTTAGATTAGGAAATTTCATTTTAAACTCAATTTTTATTTTCCTCATTTTTATATGTTTTTATAGGTCTTTACAATCACATAACTTCCTGAAATATCCCAGTCATAGTTTAGTCATTTTATATTAATTTTCAGGGTCATCTTTAAGGGCAGCAGTTACTTTAATAGATATACATGTGAATGGAGATAAAATATCTAGGGACATAGGGTGGAATACGGTCTGATTTCAGTAATTGACCTAGAACTTAATTTCTTGAAGCCTGTTATAGCAGGGGTCCGCAACCCCAAGGCCATGGACTGGCACTGGTCCATGGCCTGTGAGGAACAGGGCCACACAGCAGGAGATGAGCAGCAAGTGAAGCTTCATCTGTATTTACAGCCACTCCCTATCACTCGCATTACCATCTGAGCACCGTCTGAGCTCTGCCTCCTGTCAGATCAGCAGCAGCATTAGATCCTCATAGGAGCATGAACCCTCTTGTGAATTGCACATGCAAGGGATCTAGCTAGGTTGCATGCCCCTTAAGAGAATGTAATGCCTGATGATCTGTCACTGTCTCCTGTCACCCCCAGATGGGACCATCTAGTTGCAGGAAAACAATCTCAGGGCTCCCAATGATTTTACATTATGGTGAGCTGTGTAATTATTTTATTACATATTATAATGTAATAGTAATAGAAATAAAGTGCAAAATAAATGAAATGCACTTGAATGATCCCAAAACCATTCCCTACACCCCTGTCTGTGGAAAAATTGTCTTCCATGAAACCAGTCCCTGGTACCAAAAAGGTTGGGACTATTCTCTTATAGTCACCCTGCTTTTGGGTCATTTGCTTATCGTTTTCCTTTTCTTTCTTTGTTTCTTTTCTTCTCCCCTTAGGACATAGTCTCACTCTGTTGCCCAGGCTGGAGGGCAGTGACACCATCATAGCTCACTGCAGCTGCAAACTCCTGGGCTCAGGCGATCCTCCTGCCTCAGCTCCCCAAGTAGTTGGGACTACAGGCATATGCCACCACACCCAGCTAATTTTTTTTATCATTTGTAGAGATACCTCACTTTGTTGCCCAGGCTGGTCTCAAACTCCTGGTGTGAGCACCAAAGTGAGACCCTATCTCTACAAGGTGATCCTCTTACCTTGGCCTCCCAAAGTGCTGGGATTTCAGGTGTTAGCCACTACACCCATCCTCATTTTCTGTTAAAACTATTTTGCCCACTGCCGGGCGCAGTGGCTCAAGCCTGTAATCCCAGCACTTTGGGAGGCCGAGGCGGGTGGATCACCAGGTCAAGAGATCGAGACCATCCTGGTCAATATGGTGAAACCCGTCTCTACTAAAAATACAAAAAATTAGCTGGGCATGGTGGTGCGTGCCTGTAATCTCAGCTACTCAGGAGGCTGAGGCAGGAGAATTGCCTGAACCCGGGGGGCGGAGGTTGCAGTGAGCCGAGATCGCGCCATTGCACTCCAGCCTGGGTAACATGAGTGAAACTCCGTCTCAAAAAAAAAAAAAAAAAAAAAACTATTTTGCCCACACAAAATAGGCTGCTGTTGATTAACTTGTAACTGCTTTTCTATTTCTCTTGGACTAAGTTCATTAAAGGAAATGAAGGAGAAATGCTCCCCGGCATTTCAAGAAATTTTTCATCTGCTGTTTCAGAGCATTTTATACCAACATCTACAAATCACACTTCATAGAACTGGATGGTGATGCTGTGCCATTTCTCTAAACTATATTTTATGTTTCACTTTTGTTAGCATTCCAATTTTCAGCAATAAAACAAAGTTTTATATAGTATTCAAATGATGGTTTAGCAACATTACTTAACATTTAAACATAACATTTCATATTATGTATAATATTGTGATCCAGGAGAGAGAGCAGTAACAGACAGAAGGATGACAATAATATTCTTAATTAAAAGTCTGCTTTTTCTTAGATAAGAGATTCAGTTTCCTGAACTATAAATAGAAATGCTATCCTTACATATCTAAAAAGGTGATTGAACCAAAGAGTAAAGATATTTTCTATCTTGTCATTACCTTGTTCTCTGTAAACCACTGATAAAGCTCTAAGATAATTACATATTTCAGCTGTCAAATATGGGAACAACCAGCTTGTCCTCAGTTGTCTTAGATTCACAAGATCTACTAGGATTGAATTCAACAAGCTTTGCAAAACTAGAACAAACACCTTCATCTGCAAAAATACCTTCAATTGTATTTAAAACACTACATGGGATACATTAGCGTCAGAGATTCTCAGGAAAAGCCATGGGACACAGTTGTGTTTTTTATATCAATTATTTCCACCTTCTATAGGTAGTTTCTCTTTGAAATAATGAAAGTTGCCCAGCAGAAAACATAGCTCAGCCAGTTTCATATGCTCATGAGAGACTTGTCTGTTCTGCTAACATAAAATGTAAACACTATTGAGCAGTTAAGTGTCCCCTGTTGTGGCGTTATGTTTTGCTATAGTGAACATGTAACAGTCTTCCCAACTGAACTGTACTTGCTGATATGTCTTTAAATTTAGTAGTACCACTGCCACACCCAGGCAATAGACTATCTTCTACTAATGTCAATTTATGTTTACCATAAAGCCCTTCTGATATAAGACTGGTTGTTTAAACACCCACATAGTAACACTCTACATGACCAGTTGTCAACATCACTATTTCTTCTGTCTGCTGGTCACCCATGTGCTACTTCTGACTTCTCTGGGTTTTCCTTTTCTGCTCTCAGCTACTCCTCTCAACTCTTTCTCTTGTGATGTTTGACTTCCCTTAATGAAACCTTGCCAATTATAGATTTTACCTTCAAATGAGAGCTGCTTTTTCCTTTTTGTGCAGAGTGATCACTTAACAACCATCATGTGGATGATTCTTTGGCTCTTCAGCTCCATTGAGCTGTTTTCATTATTTTAGGTTTCTCAAGAATTCCTTCCTTACTGTACATTGTCCTTTAACACAAGAATTTGATTTTTAACTATTAATTTAAATTACGTACTCTGATATATTTATTGTAAAAATAAATGTTTTAAAATTATTAATAATTTTTAAAATTATGCTTACTTTTACAATAAATATGTCAGAGTACTTATTTTCAGTGGGATGAGATTGCCTAAGTAAACATGTTACCCCAGTTGCATAAATGATAGATCTGAAAGTACTATGTAAATATTCAAAAGAAAGATACTGAATAAAGAGATAGTTTTTAACCTGCAAGAAGAAAATAAAGGTAGTATCTTTCATTATCCTGAAAACCATGGATAGAATTGACATTTTAAAAAGTTTTTGTCAATCTTATACAACAAATATCATTGCTCACGGCACTCTCCTGAGAGTCTACCAGTCTATGTGATTCTGTGCTGCAGGCTATGTGAAGGTAGTGTAGGTGCTTTGAAAAAGGCTTTATTAAAACATTCTGAACAATTATATTTAAACCAGACTATGTAAATGTAGATAGTAAGAGAAAATAGGTGATGTTTTTAATATATATTTCAATATAATGATTTCCAATTATGTTGCAGGCTTTACTCATCAGTCTTAAGTATGGTTGTTTTATGTGGCAATTGGGAGATGCTGATACTTGTTTTCAGATCCATAGCATGGAAAATAAAATGAGCTTTATAGTACATACAAAACAGGTACGTATTATTTATGTTGGACTTCTAACAATGAACTACTGAGTTAGGAAAGTTACTTCTTTTTTTAAAAGAGACATCCATTTAACTTCAAGGAAAATCTGTACTATTCCATGAAATTAAAATATTTAAGGCCAAGGAAAAAAGGCAGGCATTCTAAGCAAGGAAAGTCAGAAACTTATCTGAATAGTTTATTTCACTTTTATAACAAATACTTTCTTGTGCCGTATCTTTTAATTCTGGTCAGTATTACCTATTTCTTCTATCAAAGTATTGGGTAGTTCTTCCCTCTTCTTGACTTACCTGTGCCCCCTAGCTGTATCTAGCAGATCGCTTCTTAAGTCCATTCAAAAGCCTGAGTAAATATCCCCTCTATACTCTTTCTTAACAAGCTGTCTCCTGATAAGTTCCCTTTCAAATAGATAGGGAACTGCCCAGTGTCATGTATGTCCTTTAAACATTTTTACATGTTTTATATTTATTGTTGTCATCTTTTACTTTGTAGGCTGGTCTTGTGGTAAAACTGTTAATGAAGCTAAATGGACAGTTAATGCCCACTGAAAGAAATTCATGAAAGAAAAGTAACTGTTACTCAAGCTACCACAGTTTATAATGCAGAGTTTTTTTCCATGAAAGATTTCTTAAAATGTTACTTTTCGCCAGGCGTAGTGGCTCACTCCTATAATCCTAGCACTGTGGGAGGCCGAGGCAGGTGGATCACCTGACAGGAGGAGTTCAAGACCAGCCAGGCCAACATGGTGAAACCCCATCTCTACAAAAATACAAAACTTAGCTGGGCATGATGGCAGGTGTGTATAATCCCAGCTGCTCGGGAGGCTGAGGCAGGAGAATCGCTTAAACCCAGGAGGCAGAGTCACTGCACTTCAGCCTGGGTGACAGAGCAAGACTCCATCTCAAAAAAAAAAAAAATTACTTTCAACAAGGCATTTAGTCTCTTGTAATATATATGTACATAATTACATTGTACAGAATCTGTACTTATGTTTGGTGTGTAATATACCAATTAGTTTTATATAATATGCTCATAAGCTATTCTAAGAGATAAACACAAAAATTATAGATTGATAGTCTGTATAATATTAGACAAAATAGTAAGCTTTATAAAAAGTTATTTTTGGTAAATGGTAAAGAATTTGGAGTGGAATGTGATGCGATTAAAATGTAGCTTTGGTATAACTTCATGTATATTTCAAAATACACTGAATGTCAACATGATTTGAATAAAGAAAATGTATTTTCTACTTGAACCATATAACACTGTTATTTAAAACAGTTTTCTGCAGTCTATACATTTCTCAACATTTTTTAAACAGTCTTAGTTAAAATGTAAATCTAATATACGGCAATGTTTCTTAAAATATAGTTTCCTGAACCTGTTGCATCATAATTACCTAGGTACTTCTTAAAAATGAAGATTTCAGAGACTCACTCTAAACAAGGGCATTCACCCTCTGGAAGTAGCATGGCCCTGTGAACTTAAGTTTGGTTTTGTTTTTTGCTTTTTTGCTGTTAAAATAATTCCAGACCAATCAGGTATTTCGATTATTAAAGTTGAGAAGTTTTACAAAACAGCCTGTCACACAAGTACACACATACATAGACACATTTTAAGTGATAATCTCTTGATATTAGAAGTTGCATTTCTTAAATACATGGCTCTATTTCTTATGAGTTGACTTAATAGTTTATGTATATTGACTCGACTTTGTAGGAAGTAAGTCGCCAAATATCTGATTGTTTCGTTTATGGAAGTATTGATATAGATGAGAAGCCAACTTGATGAATGTGCTGTTTATAAGCTATAAACAACAGTCTTTCCAAACGAATAGACTAATGGATTCTAAATAATTTCAGAGATATAATAGTCATATTTAAAGTTGTCCTACAGTTTGCAGATAATTTTTATATTACTGTTCTTCACATTAACTTCTGCTTATTTTTAATGGTGCTATGTGTAAGCCTTATTAAGATTGTATGGTTAAGTAAAGTTAACAAGAAAGTCTGGTTTATCATTAATTTTGTGCTAGGTACTTTTGATTCTACATGAACAATTCCCTGTTCAGTTTCCCTCATTCTAATGTCCTCAAGTGTTACCAAATACCCTGTTGACTCCCAAACCTAAGATTTTGGCTTCAACTTCTTTTCTGAACTCCAAATCTTAATTTCCAAGTTCTTCTTGTTCTAGGTCCATCTGAAGGGCCTACAAAGAACTTCAGTTGAATCATAGCTAGAAACAATTGATTTCCTCTATTTGTTCCATTCTATCCTTCCAGTATATTCCCTATTTGGTTAATGACATCATCAAACTAGATTCATTTGCTTAGCCTGGAAATAACGTTTTATGGTGTTCAGCCTTTACCCAGCTTACGTATTTTGTTGATCAAAGTCCTATCCAATGTTTTATGAGTCCTTTCTCATTTCCTTCCTCCCTGCTTGTACTGCAACCTAGTTTAAGTCCTTACCATCCATTCCTTAGCTTGTAATAGCTTCCTACCCCTGACTCAGGCTTCATACCCTTCTTGCCTATCTGCCACACTGATGCCAAGTTAAGCTTTCTTGTCAGTCTGATTATTTCATTACATTGTGAACATCTTTAATAGTTACCACTATATGTAGAACTAAATTTCAAATTTTTTAGTATTGAAACCAAGGTACACTGTTGTTAAGCTACTTATCAAGATTATTGTCTAACTACTTCTCCCACACTCATCCTATATTCCCAGTGTTTCCTAACTCCTCAGTCATGTGGGGAAATTCAGTTCTTTCTGATTCAATAATTTTAGGGTGAGGCCCAAGCATTTCTGTCCTTAAAGTATCCTGTATACTTATGATATACAACTAGGGATTAGAACTGCAATGATAAGCAACTTTAGGAGATAGCTGACTGTGTTTCCTTTCACAGAGAGAGGTGAGGATGCAGTGATACAAATAACCTCCTGCTCTGTGGAATAGTTTATCTTCCTGGAGATGTACAGTATAGCAGCCCTAATAAGAAAGGAATAGGAGAATATTAGAGTAGCATAGCTATTAAAGGCTTAAAAATATATAGCATTAAAGATTCAACTTTAAAAATTAATATTGAGAAAAAAACTGATCATTATCTTTCAGACCATAACAATCCAGAAATAAAAATAGGGAAATCCAAACAGCTTTTAATGAATGCCTAGCATTGATCAGGCATTGTATGTGCACTAGGGATCAAGATAAGATGCCATTTTCCTTTCATCATTCTTTCAGTAAATTTGAGTGCCTTTTATGTGCCAGGGACTCAGTGGTAAGGAAAACAAAATTCCTTTCAGGGAACAAAGTCTGAGGCAGACAATAAATTCTCATAGAAATATATAATTATAACTCTATTGTGATACACGAAAAAATCTCAGCATAACAGGGACCCTTGACCTAGTAGTGATCAGAAGAGTCTTTCCTGAGCAAATGATGCTTAAGTTGGCATCTGACATTTGAATAGGAATTAGTTATGTGAAGACAGTACAGCTAGAAGAGAAATGAGGTGAGATGTTTTGACCCCAAAAGACAGATCTGGAGAACCGATGAGGGGATTTACAATACTTATTTTCAGCTGTGATGCAAATTCAAGTAATTGTTTATCTAAATCACAACAAATACATTTTCATTTTACAAATAAAACCAGAATAGCTAATACTGCACATGATAAATGTATTAGAGAAAACTTACTGAAGAATCACAAGATTTTAAATTGCCAAATTTTATCCAATGATGGACAAAAAAAATTCAGAAAAAAGTTGCCAACATTGACCCTAGAAAAATTAGACTTGATAGAAATACTCAACAAAGTAAAACTTTCCAGTTATTGACCAAATTTAATAGAAGAATTGCATCAATAAAAGTTTTTTTTTTTTTTTTGAGACGGAGTTTCGCTCTTGTTACCCAGGCTGGAGTGCAATGGCGCGATCTTGGCTCACCACAACCTCCACCTCCTGGGTTCAGGCAGTTCTCCTGCCTCAGCCTCCTGAGTAGCTGAGATTACAGGCACGCACCACCATGCCAAGCTAATTTTTTTGTATTTTTAGTAGAGATGGGGTTTCACTATGTTGACCAGGATGGTCTCGATCTCTTGACCTCGTGATCCACCCGCCTCGGCCTCCCAAAGTGCTGGGATTACAGGCGTGAGCCACCGCGCCCGGCCAGATTTAGATTTTTTTATTTGATCCTGCGAAATCAGTGGTAAAAACTCTAAAAGATTTTATTTCTTTATTTATTGAGCCGGAGTCTTCAGTCACTCCAGCTGGAGTGTAGTGGTCCAATCTCGGCTCACTGCAACCTCTGCCCCCCTGGTTCAAGTGATTCTCCTGCCTCAGCCTCCTGAGTAGCTGGAATTACAGACGTGTGCCACCATGCCCAGCTAAGTTTTGTATTTTTAGTAGAGACAGGGTTTCACCATGTTAGCCAGGCTGGCCTTGAACTCCTAACCTCAGGTGATCCACCTGCCTCGGCCTCCCAAAGTGCCGGGATTACAGGTGTGAGCCACCTTGCTCAACCCTCTAAAAGAATTCACATGTGCAAAAAATATATTGGGAATCAATTTGTTGCTTTATCATTAACATAGAAAATGATGCTCCCAGTGAAAATAATTTCAGTCAAAGCATAATTTGTTTTTGCTGCACTGTGTAGAAAACTGATCAAGACACTAAATTGACTTGAGGCTGGGCATGGTTACTCACACTGTAATCCCAGCACTTTGGAAGGCCAAGGTGGGAGAATCACTTGAGGCCAGGAGTTCAAGACCAGACCAGCCTGGGTAACATAGCAAGATCTCATCTCTACAAAAATAAAAAATAAATTAGCCAGGAGCGGTGGTGTACACCTGTAGTCCTAGCTACTCAGGAGGCTGAAGTGGGTGAGTATCTTGGGCCTAGGGGTTTGTGGTTGCAGTGAGCTATGATTACACCACTGTACTCCAGGCTGGGTGACTGAGCAAGCCTCTGACTTCAGATAGATAGATAGATAGATGATAGATGATAGATACATAGACAGAGCGAGCAAGCCTTTGACTCAGATAGATATATAAATAAATAGATACACAGACAGGCTTGCATGCATGCAAGGATTAGAAGATAGACAAGATAGGCTTGAGTGCATGCAAGGATAGCCCTGAGTGTGCGTGAGAATAGACGGATAGAGAGAGAGATCAAAGGAGATAGATATAGATAGGCTTGAGTGCATGCAAGAAAATATTTTCTCACCAAAAATCTATCTATGATGGTATGATTCTCATTTAATGTTTGTATTCATAAGCACATTAGAAAGCCTCAGTGTTATATATGATATTTGGAGAGGGAGGCATAGGCAGACTGAAAAGGCCCTAAAGCAGAAGTATCAAGCTCTTGGGGATCTTAGAGGCCAAAGTATTTAAGGCAAAGGAATATCTTTTAGACCTTAACAAATAGTTATGAAAAACAGTTTCAATACATTGTGCTAATTTCTGTGATAAAAGGAATCACCAGGTTGTTCAGGATTCATTGGAAGGGCACCCACATGGGTGGGAAATTAGAAACTTATGTCCCCATTATTTAAATTTTAATAATAGCTAATACTTTAAATGATGCTTACTACACTATTGATATTTGAAGCACTTTTAGGGATATTCATTCATTTATTCCTGACAACAATCACTATGAGGCAGATCTTACTACTCCCATTTTACAGATAAGAAAATGGAAGTAGGGTTAAATTACTTTCCAAAGCTAATGGTTGTGGAGCCCAGATTCATACCTAGGCAGCCGAACTCCAGAGTATAAGTAAATCAGATACATGATGTATAGTTATAATAAAAACATAAAATAGGCCGGGTGCGGTGGCTCAAGCCTGTAATCCCAGCACTTTGGGAGGCCGAGGCGGGTGGATCACGAGGTCAAGAGATCGAGACCATCCTGGTCAACATGGTGAAACCCCGTCTCTACTAAAAATACAAAAAATTAGCTGGGCATGGTGGTGCGTGCCTGTAATCCCGGCTACTCGGGAGGCTGAGGCAGGAGAATTGCCTGAACCCAGGAGGCGGAGGTTGCGGTGAGCCGAGATCGCGCCATTGCACTCCAGCCTGGGTAACAAGAGCAAAACTCCGTCTCAAAAAAAAACCATAAAATAATACTTGTTTTCTATATTTAAAAGCTTAGGAACCAGAGTTCTAACAGTGATATAAATGTTTTCATTTTTGTGTATTGTATACCTTTGAACACAGTTGTATACAGAGAGGCTATGTTATTTGCGTAAGATCAAAAACTAGTAAGGTGGAGTGTCAGTATTCAGTATATGGAAGTCTGGCTTCTGAATTCAGACATTCCTCAGATAAAGGAGAGTTAGGTGGAGTGGTTAAAAAAAAAAAGAATCAAGTCTTGAAGGGTGTTGGGTTTCCTGTTAATGAGGAGCCATTGGAGCCCTTAGGACTTGATTAGCTCAGATGTGTGTGTTGAAAGATAACTTGGGCCAATGTCCAGAAGGGCTCAAAGAGGTAGTTCTGAGAAAGAAGATGTAACACAATCTGGACATAAGCTAAGATAATGGCAATGAGGAGAAAATAATATTTTGACAAAACCCATTGACCTTTTAGATATGGGAAATAATGAAGAGTTAGGAGTAATGAATAATTATTCTCTTTCTGTCCTGGACATCTGGGAAAATGGTACCATATACAGCCTAAAATAGGGAATGGGAGAAAGTTTTGAAGAAGTGTATTGAGTTCCTGGCTCCCCAGGGACCCACAGATGGAGATGGTCAATAGACAATAGGATTCCCAGGCCTGAAGTTCAAAAGGCTCTCAGGAGATGACAACTGAAACTCCACAAATAGGCCGGGTGCAGTGGCTTACCCCTGTAATCCCAGCACTTTGGAAGGCCGAGGCAGGCGGATCACGAGGTCAGGAGATTGAAACCATCCTGGCCAACATGGTGAAACCCCATCTCTTCGAAGAATACAGAAATTAGCTGGGCATGGTGGTGTGTGCCTGTAACCCCAGCTACTCGGGAGGCTGAGGCAGGAGAATTGCTTGAACCAGGGAGTCGGAGGTTGCAGTGAGCCAAGATTATACCACTGTACTCCAACCTGGCAACAAAGTAGGACTCCATCTCAAACAAACAAACAAACAAACAAAAAGAAACTCCACAAATAGATTTAAAGCCACCTAGGAAGAGAGCACAGTGAGGAGCAAGCAAAAGAATGACAATATTTGAGAAATGGGCAAATTTAGGATAATCCACAGCATCCTGTTAAGTGAATATCTGCATAGAAAAGAAATAGCTTGGCACCATTCTTATACTGTGTATCCAATAAATTTTATATGGGCAAAAATTAAAATAACATTAATATTGCGAGGGAAAAAGCAAACCAGTATATTTTAGTGTCAGAGCACATTCACGGATATTTCTTAAATGAGTTTGAGGGATAGGTGAATAAAATCCTTTTTAAATGTACACCAACAAACATCAAAAGCAAAGCAGGCCAGGCACGGTGGCTCACGCCTGTAATCCCAGCACTTTGGGAGGCCGAGGCGGGCGGATCGCAAGGTCAGGAGTTCAAGACCAGCCTGACCCAATATGGTGAAACCGCATCTCTATTTAAAAAAAAAAAAAAAAAAAGCAAAGCAAAAGAAAGGATTTGGAGCAACTCGAACTCATATATGGCTAATAGGAATGCAAAATGGAACAACCATTTTGGAAAACAGTTTAGTTTCTTGTAAGTTACATATATGTGTCTACTATAGGACACAGCATTCTACTCCCAGTTATTTATCCAAGCAACTAAAACTTATATTCACATAATTCATATGCAAATGTTCATAGACTACATCTTTAATTTTTTCATAATTAAACTAGAAACAACCCAAATGTCCTTCACTGGGTGAATGGATAAACTCAGGTACATCCATCTAATGGCATAATAACAATGAAAAGAAATAAACTATTGATGAACAGCATGGATAAAGCTCAAGTGTATTATGCTAACTGAAAGAA